TGACCAAGGCTAGGCTACAAGACACCTCCCGTGTATCCTTGTTCAGCTAGCTAAACGGCTAACAAATGGAGAACACATGCCTTGGTAGAACATGAACATTGGCGGTTTCTGATGACGTATCTCCTAGGCAACCGGGGCGGGGCCAAGACATCAAGGCAATGTTCCTTGACACCCATGGTGTCACGATGTGAGTGGGGGGAAGGTTAGGACCCAAAATGCAGAACCAGGATGACACGAGCCAGGAGTAGTAGAAGAACGTAACAATCCTTTATTAAGAGATAAATCCAAAAGGGCTGGAAGCCAAAAACCAAAAATCTAAAAAATCCTAGAATCAGACCTGGAGAAACCCAAAACACCAGACACCTAGAGAGGAGGCGAGACAACGCTGACACAAACAATGGACCAACAACAAATTGAGACGCAGACAGGGTTTTATACACGGGGCAGGATGATTGGGAGATGGGGAGGTGCGTGGGGAGAGAGAAACCTGGTGAAATGAATCTACTAATCAGGGAGAGCAATCTAAGCTGAGGAGGGAAAATAAAACATGACCTATGATTAATAACCAAACCTAAAGACTAGAAGAACAAGACAAATAACCAATGATCTAAGGAGGAAAGGAGAACTAATAACCCGGTGGGGAAGGACCAAGGAAGGAACCTGAACCTATGAAAACAACAGGGAAAAACTAGCTAGATAATACAAAGAAACCCAAAGAAGAAGTGAACCTGGGAAACCTGGAGGGGTTGGAGACCTAAAGGGGCGCAGAAACCTAAGGGGAGAACCTGGAGTGGGCTGGGGAACAGAAGGAGGCACACGGGGGGGGACGCAGGACGCAGACCATGACACATGGCTTATATCTCCTCTCCAGAACTTCACTCTAGAGGCAGGACTGGGTTTTCATGTTAGCTGCTAAAGAGTTGATGCTTAAAGGCACGAAAACACGAAAAGAGTAACGAAGCGAGAGCTGTCGAGGAACGGTAACTTCGGTACTTCTTTAGGTTCCTGCTTTGAAAACTTCTTCTTCCACCATCGCCTAGCAGTGCATGATGGGGTCACGTTGTTGTGGACTGACAGCTCCCTCTAATGACTTGTTTTGCTGTTGTGGAGGGGGCGGAGCTTAGGAAACATTCATAAGATCAGGAGTTTCACACAACATGGCAAAAGAGTGTCTAACGACATGTAGAGACATGAAAGTCAGCAGCACAGAACGTGTGTGTGTGTGTGTGTGCATGTGTGTGTGTGTGTGTGTGTGTGTGTGTGTGTGTGTGTGTGTGTGTGTGTGTGTGTGTGTGTGTGTGAGGGGCACTGAGATTATCCCCACGAGCAAAATGTACATTAGAGATTACTGACCTTGTGTGTGTGTTTGTCTGGTTTTGCCCCCCCCCCCCCCCCCCCCCCACACACACACACTGGTGCAGCAGGTGCACTGGTATGTGCATTTGTGTGTGAGAACGTAATCTGAGAGGGGTCAGAGAGAGCCATTAACTGGTGCATTAAGACCAACCGGGAACCGACCAGGATAAAGGGCCAAGGATGGTGTGTGTGTGTGTGTGTGTGTGTGTGTGTGTGTGTGTGTGTGTGTGTGTGTGTGTGTGTGTGTGTGTGTGTGTGTAAGTGTGTGTGTGTGTGTGTGTCCAATGAGACGGTTTGAGGATTTCAGGGCAAAAGGGACAATGAGAATGAGGATTTGGCAGTGGGGCTAACGGGGATGGAGTCCATTAGCGTGTGTGTGTGTGTGTGTGTGTGTGTGTGTGTGTGTGTGTGTGTGTGTGTGTGTGTGTGTGTGTGTGTGCATTGAAAGGATTGCGAGGATCTGACCTATAAAAAGCAGACACACCCTGCGTGTCGTAATTTTCACGAGAATCTCTCAGGATTCTGTCAAAAATCTGACTGGACGCTCTAAAAGAAGAAGTTTCTCATATCAGGACTCTTTCTGCTGTTCCTGTTTCTACCCAACGTTAGACTGGCTGTGGGTGAAATCTGATGTAGGACAGGATGCTGAACAGTAGATGAGGTGAGAGAAAGCGTGAGGACAAAAGACGTCTCTTCTATTATTCATGAGAGATAAAAGCAGCAAACAGGAAAGGAGGCTGTAGCTTCGTCTCCTCCTCCTGCCGCTTTAATGGGATCTATCATTTCCTGTAGCAGGCGCCGTTTGTCCTCCACGTGTTTAAAGGATGGCTAGCAGGTTATTAACCTAACACAGCCACGTGACCCGAACCCGAACCCCGTGACCATTTTAAATGAAACCTTTACACAACTGTCAGTCTCTCAATAAATGCTGTTTTAGAGAATTAAGTATTCATACATCTGTACAGAAGTGCTGCAGTTAGCTGCAGCAGCTAAAATGATGCTAGCTGCAGATTCACAGCCATGTCGGCTAGCATTAACAGTAGCTTTAGATGTCCAGACCAAAGCTGTCTAGTGGTCGGCAGCATGGCCGGATCATCCAATGTGCTTCAGCAGCGATGAGACCTACAGGAAGACACAGAGGCAGCTGATGAGGAGCCAGGCTCGGACGGCCACATGGACGCAGAGAAGTGTCCTCGCTTTACCCCTAACCTGCTTTCTATTACTCAGGTCTGGTATTATTGTGGATCAATAAGGGAGCAGAGCCTTGCAACACGTTCTACCAAATACAGCCAGTGATAGGTCATGTTGTTGTGTGTGACCTGACCCGGGGGAGCATTGACAGATCGAAGAGCAGTGGTCCAATAACTGAGCCTTGGGGGACCCCACATGTGATGGTGGTCAGCTCTGATTTGTGATCACCAGTAGAAACAACCTAACCCTGATAAGATCGGAACCAACTATGGACTGTTCCTGAAGGTCCCACCCAGGTTAGGAGCCTACCAGAAGGATGTTGTGGTCCACAGTAAGAAGAGCTGCAGTGAGATGGAGCATCATCAGGACAGATGTTCTACCTGAATCTGTATTTAGACAAATATCATGTAATGCTTTAATCAGTGCGGTCTCAGTGCTGTGGTGTTGTCTACAGCCTGACTGGACACTATCTAGCAGGTGTTTGTCTCTAAAAAGCTGTTCAGCTGGATCATAACAGCTTTTTCAGCCATTTTCTCATGAAGGGGAGGTTAGAGATGGTCTGTGGTTCTTCATCACTTAGGATCTAGTTTCCGTTTCTCTAGAAGAGGCTCAACAGCAGCCGTTTCAGTGATGTAGGAAAATACCTGACATTAAGGAACAGTTTACAGTTTTCACTACATCAGCTTTTAAGCAGCTAAACACATTTTAGGAAGTTTTTAATTAGGTTTGATCCTTTTCTGGCTGTTTTATATGGTCTTGTGTGTTGTACAGCACCCCGAAAAGGTCGAGGAAGCGGCTTTACAAGCTAAGATTCAAACCTGCATGACCCAGTCCGACCAGGGCTTCACTCTCAGAAACTGTGTTTTATCCAATGTTAATATAAAAATGATGTAATAATCACTTCTATCCCACCATAACTACATATTAAAGCAATAAAATTGGCCCTCTCCACCTGCAGATCCTCCACCAGGAGCAGCAGAACTGAATATCCTGATGCTCCACCTGGATTATTTAATCCTTTCAGTGGTTTCATGAGTCTACGATGTAAAACTAAAGGAGGCAGAACACACTTTAAGGCTTGTCGATGTCATTCAGTTGATGTAAAATCTACTTAAAGGAATCTCTAAACAGCTCCATGTGGAACCTTTACTTCTAAACTTGGAGGTCACGCGTCTGACGGAGGGATCAGCCGTCCACCACGAGTGCTTTTGGTTCGTTCCCCCGAAACAAAGAAGAAGGAAAACAGCGGAGACATCAGCTTGTCTAAAAGTCTTCTACTTTATTCCAGAAGGTAAACAGTTTTGTAAAACATCCAATAAAAAATGGACTTTCATTTATTGCTCATCTTTATACTAGGACTTTGATCTAATGCATAATTTTTCCAAAGCACTCTTACGAAGAATATGATGCTAAATATGAGATCAGGTCTTATGCGGTCGTTAAATATCAGTAACAGACACGTTCAGGTCAGATCAAAGCAAACCAGATAAGCAACGGGACCGACCGCCACGCGTCCTCGTCTGCTTCCGTCATCCATCAAAGAAACAAACGTTTTAAACCCAAACATCAAGACTTCAACTCAGAATGTTTAAACATGTAGTTTATAAATGTAGGTTTCAGGGATGAAGGTCCTCCCCCTACAGCGTCGTCCTCTAGTCTGTACGAGTCGGTCTAACATAAACGCTCGAGTCTTATCTGGGATCCCCGTCTAACGGTGGTGCGGAAACACACAGGAGGTTTAACCCAAACCTAGCTATTAGCACCTGATTATCAACAGGGTAACGACGGTTTTAGTGTGTGTGTGTGTGTGTGTGTGTGTGTGTGTGTGTGTGTGTGTGTGTGTGTACGAGGCGTCTCAGAGTCGTGTGTTTAAAGTTTTCCATCCGACAGACAGAATTCAAATTTCCATGATGTCAAATTAAGGAATAAAACAGATGTGTTCTGTAGGGAAAAATCTATTAATAATAATAATAATAATAATAATAATAATAATATTAATAATAATAATAATAATAATAATGGTGATAAAGTCTTTAACTCTCGTGTTTACATTACTACTCCCTAATAATCCATCTGATTTTATGACATAGTTGAATAACGATACCGTAGCAACACGACTGGGCCTCGCCACCTGACGACTCTCCAGCAGAGGGCGGTAGACATGATGAAGGTACTAATCCTGATGCTCCAGGGGTCTGATGTCAGCTTGTGGTGATAGATAAAGGTTTTAGCTTTAATGGAAAGATAAAAAACACAACATGGACGTTTACACGGATTAAAGCGTTTGGGATCAGAACTCAAATCTACCAGAAGAACTTGTGGACGTCAACAATCGTTACGACACGTTTAGAGGAGGAGTGACCTACATGAATGCAGAGAACATGCAGGTGGCTTCATGCATTTATGACATTCATCTCAACTGTTTACATAGTTGTAGGAATCCCCCCCCCCCCCCCCCCCCCCCCCCAAGCTCTCGTACCGCTTTAACTCACCGTCACAGGACAATAAATAAAAACCATTTCCTGCTGTGGTGAATGTGGCGGGGATCAGTACGGTACTGATGTTCCACCGTGTGTGTGTGTGTGTGTGTGTGTGTGTGTGTGTGTGTGTGTGTGTGTGTGTGTGTGTGTCGTGCACTCTCAGGCCAGCTCGGAGGTCGGTGATGGTGTCAGAACCTCGGGCCTGGATATTTACATCCTGGTTTAGAGGAGAATGAGTAGAAGGCAGCAGTAGAAGGTGCTTCTTCATGAAGGCGGCGTGCTCTCGTAGAAATAAGCTAAGGTGAAGAGAAGCTCTTATCCATAAATAAATAAATAAGTTAATAAGTTAAAGGGGGTTTGTCTGTACATGCGAGCGGAGGGATGTTTGTGGTCTGTAGGGCCGTAGCTCAGGAGGAGGAGAGGGGTAGCGGGAACCTCCAGAGGCCTGAGAGCTCCGCTGTGAAACCTCCGTCTGACATCAGCGAGTGCACTGGTGCAAACGCCCGAGCCACGACAGCGAGGGACCAAGTTGTGGACATCCAGTCTGGTCACTCATAGCCAAGTTAATCACTCCTGTTAGACGTTTGAACTAGCAGCGGAGGAAGGTGTGGTTTAATCCCGGCCCAGGGCCAACACGGCAGCTATCCAATCAGGCAGCAGCAAGACTGTGTCTCCATGACGACACAGCTTTAGCGCTAACATCCTGGATGTTGCCGTGGCCCTAGACCGGGATGTAAACTGGAGGTCATATGACATCATCACTACAATGTGATTGGGTAGCCTTGAGTCAAAACAAGGGTGGTGATCCGCGACTGACGCCAACATGGCGGCTACGGTGAAACGTGAGATTTACGCAACTAAATCATCCTGGAAGAGACGAGCAGGAGTGACAAGAGCGGGTCTGGATCTTTGGTTTCTTTGACTTTTCCACCATCTTCCCTGTTTTTATGAAGTACAACTTAGTCAATAGCTGGGTCAGTCGTGCTGATGTTGATGATGCAGGGTGGGGTTACTATTATGGTCTGTTGGAAACAGCTGTCAGCTGCAGAACTGACGCACTGAGGACTGAAACGTGGATTTGTTTATGCTGCTGTACAGCATCCGTCTCATGCATTTAGCTCCGAATGCTGCCGAAAACATCAGTAAATAGTTTGGTCAGCAGACTTCCTGTCTTGTTGCTGTTGCTATGGTAACATGCTGCCTCCTGCACGCCCCAGTGACCTCATGCATAAAAGGTTAAAGTGTGCTGCTGGATCAGAAGTCAAGCTGTGATTGTTTCATCCATGGAGGCGGGCGTCTGGAGTCAGCGGAGGAGCAGGATCGCCGTTGGCTCGGCGTCGGGCTTTAGGGTTTGGGTTGGAGGACGCCATCTTAAAGTCATCCACACCAGCTCCGTCCTAATCTGTAATCCCCCCCCCACCCCCAACCCCATAGTAACGCAATGAAATCTTTTTCCCTTAAAGTAGAAAAGTGGTTTTTCGAAGACGTTGCTGCACAAACGCACTCCTAAGGTTTGGCAGTGAGGATGTGGAACATCTGGACTCATCACAACTGGAGGAACGTTGCTAGGAACATGTCTGCTGCATAACTACGTTATTAAATAGTCACAATCAAACCCCGAATCAGGAGTGCGCCTGCAGGCAGGAGAAAGTGTGTCTCAGCGGCCTGGTGTCAGCTAGAGGCGTGTGCGTGTGTGTGTGTGTGTGTGTGTGTGTGTGTGTGTGTGTGTAGGGGGTCCGCTGTAGTACATTCATGGTGAGAGGTTGGTAGGTAGATGCTGACCCGCTCAGGAGGTGGGGTCAGTCTCCTGCAGGGCGCTCACGGCGACGTTCTTCCTAGAGAAGGATGCATTTTCCTTTCTCCACCCACGGGTTGTTCTTCATCAACTCCGGGTTCAGGAAGGGATCTTCGGGGACTCCGTCCTCTATCCACTTCACCAAACTTTGTGACAGACAGACAAAAACAGGTTTCAGTTTTATTTTACAAGACGAGCAAAGCAACAACCAGAAGAAACCCGTCTGATTTTCATTCGCCGCTCCGCCGAGAAGAGCGGGAGATGTTTACTCCGCTCATCTGGAGATCTGTAGCTCCTTTACCGATCTGCTTGGGTGTTTGTAGTGTCGGATGTTCCTGACGCTCTTGAACGTGCCCCGTGAGCTTGTGTTGCTGTGCTTGAGTTGGTTGTCATGACAACGGAGGTGTGTGCGTTAACCCTCCGAGTGGACGTGAAGGCTCGTGTGTTTATGTCTGTAACCTCTGGTGGCGTCACCTCGACCGCGGTCACCGCTAAACTCTAACCCCGGCTGGGTCATTCGAGTCTTTGCCCCCCGACCTGCATCGTGGGTCCTGACCCGGACCTGAAACCCGTGGCATGCACGTCGGTGTCGAGTCGACCGAGTTTAGGAGGGAGCTCTGACTGGGTTTTAGACTTTTCCTGCTGAGCAGAAACGACCACCGCAGTGCGCCGTTGCCGTGGTAACTACTCACTCTGTGACTGTTTTGGAGGATTTCTCTCGTTTGAAGGCCAGCTGGTATTTGAGGCTCTCCACCTCCTTCTTCATCTGGGGCAGGTCCATCTCATCCATGACTGCAGCCTGATGATGGGCTCTTCTACCTGCACAGAGAGGGAGGACCAGAGGTCTGTTAATGCACAACTAAACTCCAAACACCCGACCTGCACCCCGACACCTTCGACTCATCTCTGGTCTTGTGCTCAGAATGACAGCAGAGCTGCCTCCCGCAGTGAGAGTGAACACCTTTTATTTAACAGGAAGAAGAGAATGAACAGCATGTAGGTGTGCGCTGTCCCAGTTCCCGGCCGAGCCTACGACCGTCTGAAGCTCCCTCAGGTAAAGGCGACGCTGTTATGTAACGCTCCCTCCCTCTCCTCAGAAAGGACACGCGTCTTCAGTGAAGGCAGGGAGCAGCAGGGCTGGTCTTGTTGAGTTTTAGATGAGATCATGAATGTGACTCCTCCCTGAGGAGGAGCTCTTTCACTCCATCTTTAGACGTGCAGAAGCCACCAGGACCGTGGAAACGCCCCACCCTGCTGAAGGTGGGAGTGTTGGCCCCGCCGTGCGGAGGCACAAACGATGGACCCGTTTCTGCAGCTTCTGACGTTCTGGGTTAAATCTTGTGTTTGACTGAGATCTGAAGTCTTTAATAACGCTCCGACCTTCATCAGAGCTCACAACGACACACACACACACAACGACAGCCTGGGCCTACATCGGTAGTCCTCAGCGCTTCACAACTCTAAATACTTCACAGCCACATCAGGAACAAGCAGGAATGTGACCGGTTGGTTCTGGAGGACTCTGATGGACGCGAGCCCGGAGCGTCCCAGAGGATCCGGCCTCTTCCGGTGGCTTATGAGGCTTTCACTCCCTCCTGCTCCTCCTCCTGCTTTCTCTCACTTCCTACTTGCATCCTGTGTCCATGCAGGTCCAGCAGCTCTGGACGCTGCTGGCGAGGGATCGTGTTTAGCAGCTCCAACATGAAAATCAGAAACAACCCCTTTGTTTTCTGTGGCTTGGAGTCCGAGGCCAGAAATAGTAGCTCTGATTTAGTGAGACGTGATAAAAACATCACTTCAGCTCGTTGCAGAGGAAAAGGGTGGCTGGTGTAAAACTGAAATGTGAGGTTTGTGCTGAAAGATGAGCTGGAGAAGACATCTGGGGAAGAAAGTGGCAGGACTTCCACTCCGTGCTTCTCCGTCTGGGCTGAGAGGACTCCAGCGCCACCCTTTCTGTAGACGAGATGAAGAGTTTTACTCTGACTCACAATCTGACTGAAAGCAAGAAACCGAGATGAAGGCAGAACCGGGCCGAGGCCTGAGACTGGCTTCTGCTCCAGGTGTGTGTGTGTGTGTGTGTGTGTGTGTGTGTGTGTGTGTGTGTGTGTGAGAGTGTGAGTGTGTGTGTGCGTGTATGCGTGTGTGTGTGCATGCCTGTGTGTGTGTGTGTGTGTGTGTGTGTGTGTGTGTGTGTGTGTGTGTGTGTGTGTGTGTGTGTGTGTGTGTGTGTGTGTGTGTGTGTGTGTGTGTGTATGAGTGTGAGTGTGTGTGTGCATGTATGCATGTGTGTGTGCATGCCTGTGTGTGTGTGTGTGAGTGTGTATGTGCATGCATGTGTGCGTGCATGTATGCATGTGTGCGTGTGTGTGTGTGTGTGTGTGTGCATGCCTGTGTGTGTGTGTGTGTGCATGCATGTGTGTGAGTCCAGTAGCAGGTCTGATGACCACTTCCTGTGTGAGATCAGGTTTCAGCAGCATGCTTGGGGACGGCAGCAGGTCTGGACCCTTCCCTCTGTCTAACTGCAGCAGTCGGCATCTAGAAGCTAAGCGGCCATCTTCTACCTTCCACTCACAAGTTTCTCTTTTATCCACTCGTCCTCTTTCATTTAATCTTTCCTCTGATTTCTGTCCGTCTGTTCCTGAGCTGTAAATCTGGATTCTTTAGGTACGTGACTGTGTGGAAGGTTGCAGGTTCCAATCCCAGCTGCAGCTTTTCTGCGTGGTGTTAGCATGTTCTCCTCACACATGTGTATCTGTTCTGCAGGTACTCTGGTTTCCTCCCACAGATTAAAAGCATGCATGTCAGATCAGCTGGACAAGTGTCCCTAGGTCTGGCTGGTTGGTTGTCTCTGTGTCCCAACCACGGTCCCAACAGGAGACCTGTCCAGCGTGTCCCCCTGTTAGCTTCAGCTGCTATCAATGCTAACATGGGAGCTAGCGGTCACCGCTGAGGTCAGAAATAAGCCTGCATCCATCCTGTTTCCATCTATGAAGAATGGGATTAAAGCTCAGCAGCAGACGTGTGTCTCCAGACACCTGGTCCATGTCTGCTGTTGGATGGAGATAAATCTATTTATGTTCCAGGAGTGGGTGGTCCTTTGTTTAGAGCCTGACAGTCCGTGCAGAGAGGAACTGACCAGTTCATCGTGACCAAAAGCTGGTGGAAAGTAGAAAACAAGACCGTGTTTTGACTGCAGCAGCTGTCCTCAAGGACCAGAGATGTTTGGAGGTTCTCACTTGTTCAAGCTGGCTTTTGTGTGACCTTCATCACCTCCTTTTCCTTATTCCGCCTTTCCTTGGATCCACTGATTTCCCTCTTTACTTTCATTTTCTCTCTCCCTCTCCTTACAGTTTTTTAAAACAAAATATTTATTTTTCTCATTTTGAACATATTTTTAATCATTTTAAATATTTTTTATACCTTAATTTCTTTTTGTTTTTGACCTTTAGCCTGGTGCTGCACAACCAGTAGGCTTTGATCACTGGACCTCAGGGACCTGCTGGGGGTGTAGGGACTAAGAAGATCACCAATGTAAGATGGTGCTTGTCCATGTAAGGCCCTATAGACCAGAACCAGGATCTTGAAATGAACCCTGAAGTTGACTGGCAGCCAGTGAAGCTGGAGGAGAAGCGGGGTGATGTGGGTGTGTTTGGAGGACTTGGTCAGAAGCCGAGCACAGGCGTTCTGAACCACCTGTAGACGGTTCAGGGAGGTTCTGCTCAGACACGTGAAAAGAGAGTTACAGTAGTCTAAGCGTGAGGAGATGAAGGTGTGGAGAACTGTCTCAAGTTCAGAGCGGGACAGAATGGGACTCAGCTTAGCAACGTTCCTGAGATGGAAGAAGGAAGAGCCAACAAGAGAACTGACATGAGAATCCAGGGTGAGAGCTGGGTCAAAGGTCACGCCAAGATTCCTGATGGAAGGTTTGGTGTGAGAAGCAAGCTGACCAAGAGAGTCTCTGACTTTGGGAACCAGCGTGTCTGGGGCACAGATGAGGCTGAATCTGTCTTCTCAGGTAGATCGAGGGCGAGGCGTGTTGTGGCCGACGTGGAACAGTGGCAGACGCCTCCTGAAGGTAGCTAGCTAGCTGCTGATGATTACAGTGAGCTAGTCATGTTGATGGCTAACCCAATAACAGTGTCATTACCCTCAGCACGTGCCATTATGTTTGCTGTTACCGTGCCGACAACCAGCGTTTTCTTGTTGGCTTGTTTCCATTAAAAGTTGCTGACTGAGCTTTTATCGGAGTCGTCTTTATTTTCAGACGGCACATAAGACTCTCTCCGGTTTCCAGCCGGCGTCCACAAAGACCCAAAATCACGGAGTCTCATCAGAGCGCTCACACCGGCTGCAGATCAGGATGCTCTAGAAGGTTTCTGCATGGACTCCATTTTTTCTGGATTGTTGAAGGAATGACACGAGCCAGACAGGAAGTGAGATGTGTTTCAGCCATCGACATAAATATACTGGACATCTCCTGTCCATAGGCTCCAATATCATGTTTTTGAGGCTAAATGGGAGGTGGCCACCACCGCCATTTTGACCGTGTCACAGGTTCCGTCAAGCCCAGACAATTCCATAAAAGGGAAGAGAGGAGGAGCTGAGGGTGGGGCTGTAAGGCTGGGATCAACTGACGACACCCGGTCGAACTAGCTACAAGCTAACATGAAGCTAACGCGGAGGTGGGAGCTAAGCTAACGGAGGTAGCAACCTAGCTACTACCGGAGTTAACTGTGCACAACACCAGAGCTTCTGAGTCAGAGATACGCCGGGCTGACGCTGAGTAAAACCGGGTGGAACACAGAGGTCTCCGAGACCTCCACAAGCCGGTAGCCGCACAGCAGATAAGCGCCGCTGCGATCTGAGATGCGCAGAGCTGCCGCTGGGGAGAACCGGGTGGAAAGGTTTCGATCCCAGAGCTCCACAAGCTGACAGCCCGCGCAGCAGACAGAAGCCGCGATGAGACAGAGACGCGCCGAGCTGCGGGGAGGGGAGAACCGGGTGGAAAACATCGGTCTCCTGAGAGCTCCACAAGCCGATAGTGGGAACCCAGCTCCACCAACATGTTCTATTTCAACCCATTTTCTAAAGTGCAGCATTATGTTAAATGCACTGGGTTTTACCCTATTACATTTAAATTTCATGGTTAAACAGTACATGTTAAAATCTAAGCTCAGCTCGGCAGTGACCTAAAATACATAAATATAATTTTACTTACCGAAAAAATGAAGTGGAGACTCCTTGGACGCTCTATTAGTGCAATTAATGCCACTGCAAGTCATTTTGTCCAACAATTGCACAAATAATATCCAAACAAGAATACACACACAGAGACTCAAAAACCCGGAACAGTTTCCAAGCCAGACCGAGGCTCTACTGAGGCCTTTCCACGGAGCTAGCTCTGTGGTCACGTGGGTCAGATGCTCATTAATTATACTGAATTTTAGGCTTTTATTACACTTAAACAGAAGAGTGAGAAAAACATTCACCCCCTCAGAGGTGTCATGAGTGTAAACTAGATCATTTAAACCAAAAACATGTTCTGGTACCAGGCTGTAAACATGTTTATTTCTGCTGTGAAATTGGTATTTTTAACATGGGAGTCAATGAGGATTTGCTCGCTTCTGACACCAGCCCCTAGTGGATGAGGGTGGAACTGCAATTTATGGTACTTCCGGGTTTGATTCAATTTTGGAGCTGCATTGTGGGGGCTTGGTTTCAGCACAACAGGGGCGGCGTTAGGCCCGGCTACTTGGGCTGAAGCCCCGGATGTTTTATGAAAAGCCCCGGATCTAAATCGTGGAAGTAACATGCAGTACCAAAGTCCAACAGAGGGGGAGCAGCTGGCAGTAGTTTGTATACAGCCTGCCTGAGCCTCCACCACTGAAGAAGAAGCCCTTCAGCAGCCGGCTTCTTCTACACTCTCTGCCTGAAACGCATGAGTGAAGATGGACATAAGGACGTTTTTAGACCAAAAGTACGGCGACAGAACCCCAGCTTTGATGAGACTGGTGCTGACTCAGGTTTGTGAGTCTTATTAGAAAATATTTGTTGTGCTGCTGGTTTGCCTAAAGTTAGCTTATCAGGTAAAGTTGTTGGAGAAAGAACGGGAATATTTACTATCATCTCACACTAAACACTAACAGGAACAATACTCTGCCCTGAATATGCTTCATATGTAGCTTCAGATTAAAAGTTATGTGGTACAAGACATATATGATGATTAGTGCGTGTCACGTGTGTGGTGAGACACACTGTCAAGCCAAAACGGCTGTTGTGGAAGTGGGCTTAAGAAGCTTACGGGAGCTGAAAGCAAAGTGAACATGGAGGGCTGACGGGGGGGTGGGGGGTGGAAAACGCATCCTTTAAGCTCCCAGAGTGGATCCAGATAAGTGGTGGAAACGAGACCGATGAATGGAGGGAGGAAGAGCAGACGCAGTTCAACCATCGGATTTGGAAAGTTTGACCTACATGGAAAACGGGAAAATGAGCTTCCTGGACATGAAGAGACATAAAACTAAAGGGCTAGCTCTGCTTGGAGGGGAGGATGCTGCTCGTTTGTGACCGTGAGCACATGAGGAGAGGAAATAAGGTTTTATCCACTCTAAAAGGAAAATGGACTCCCATAATAATCCCTAACATCCAAGAATCTGTGAAACATGATGGTTTAAACACCCGAGAAGCGAGTTTGTGATCTAACCTGACTGAAACCCTGCTGCTGTAAAAGCAGAGAAGAGCTGCTACAGGAGCCTGGAGGTCAGTGAATTGTTTTGCTGTTGAGATAAAACTCTGATGAAATGCTGCTGGAGCTCTGGACCAGCTGCGCTGTAAGAAAACCCTGAAGAACATCTGAGAAGCTGGGTCTGAGTTCTAATCTGACCCGGGTTTGGGCTGCAGGCTGAAGCCGTTGCCTCACAGCAGGACAGCTGCAGGTTCAAATCCCTGCATGTACTCCTCACGCACGTGCAGGTTTCCCACCTCAAACTGAAAACATGCATGCTAGGCTGCTTGTCCCTGTGATGGACCAGAGACCGGTCCAGGGCGTCCCCCACCATCCAGCTCTCCGAAACCCCAACGAGGACGAATTCGCTTCAGGAGACGGGAGAGCGACCGGGTGGATCCGTCACAGGGTGCAGAGATGTGTTATTGTTCTGGTACCGCAGTGAGGTACATGTTCTGGTGTGTGTGTGTGTGTGTGTGTGTGTGTGTTGTTGGGGGGTAATGTAGGTCGGACAGTGATTTGGGTCACAAACATCTAAAGATTACCCTTTAGGCTCTTCTCTTCTGCCATCATCAAACCCTAGTGTGTGTGTGTGTGTATATGTGTGTGTGTGTGTGTGTGTGTGTGTGTGTGTGTGTGTGTGTGTGTGTGTGTGTGTGTGTGTGTGTGTGTGTGTGTGTGTGTGTGTGTGTGTGTGTGTGTGTGTGTGTGTGTGTGTGTGTGTGTGTGATCATATCTGACTCCTGTGACTGCTGTTTTAAGCTCGAAGCCACCAACCAACAACCCTCGGCCTGGTGACGGCGGTGAGGAGCAGGACGGCGCGCGGCAGAAGGTCGGATGCTGAGAGACGAGGAGCTGGAAGCAGCGGCAGCTCTCGGCGTGTCTACGGCTGCTGCGTTGTAAATAGTCTAAAAATAGAAAGGAGGAGGCAGAGCTCCTCTGACCATCTGAGAGTGGAGACGGGAACAGAAGGATCTGATGTTCAGGACCAGAGCTTCAACAAGATGATGAGTTCAGTGAGATCTGACGGACTGGAACCGGTCCAGATGACATCGCAGCAGGACGGCCGTGTCTGTACCGGGATGATCCGATCGATGGAATCTCATCAATGTGGAAATGGACTGGACGGGATTACGTCTGATCACACGGGCCTCCTCAACACCAGCGGGTTATACAACATTCACCACCAACCAACCCTACACGTTACACGTGACTCACTATCTCCATCACACGCGTAGAGCCACGGCGCTTTTACGGGCGTGTGAAACCACCTGATAGCCACCGCTGCACACGGCGACGGCTCAGACGTGGAGATGAATCCCACCGGTGTGGGATGTCTAGTGGGACTCCTAACTTATTACATGTTATGATGTCATCTCTACAAATGATAAAAGGTCGTTTTGTTTCTTGATAACCTCCCTACCTCAGCACAGACTGGGCCCCCCGGGGCCGCGGGCCCCCGCTTCAGAACCACTCAACAGTAGAGTGATGAGAGTGTGATGGGCACCAGTATAGCAGACTGGTGGCAGCCATCTTGTTAATTTCATAATTAAAGATAGTTTGTCAAACTGATTGTTATGACGTCATTTTCTAAAGCTGAAAGCCTGAAGATGAAAGGAGACGACAGACCAAAGGTAGGGAAAGCCAAAACCACCTAAATGTCCAAGTGTGTGTCTACAGTACAAGGTCACTGGGACCCGGTCCTGGGGGGTCCATATGCTCCACTGGTTCCGGCTCGGTGCAGTTTGGTGAAGGAACCGGAACCGTCTAAAGCTCGGAACTGTTACGTCACTTCTAAATACCGGCCAGGAAGGATTGTTGGTGAAATTCATCTGGAACCGGAGCCGGTGTGATGAGGGATACCGGAGGACAATCCTACCTCACTGGCGGCTGTTGCTCTCCCAGGTCTGGAGGTACCGGAGGGAGGAACCGGAGACGGTGCTGCAGCAGATCGGCGCTGATCTCCCGGTCCGTTCCTGCGAGTCTGGTCTCTGTCTGAGGCGGAGCTCTGCCGGTATCCGCTGGGGGTGAGTGAGGATGAAAATCCGCAGTACGAGCAGTGCAACGGATGACGAGCAGTCTGGGTCTGCCCGGTAACCGGTTCCGGTGCTGGCCGGGAGCGAGGCGGAGAGGAGGAACTCAAAGAAGAAGTAGCGCTCCGGTTCTGCTGGGACCCTCCTTTATCTGTGTGTGTGTGTGTGTGTGTGTGTGTGTGTGTGTGTGTGTGTGTGTTGGGGGAGGAGATGCTCCCTGAGGATGCGTTTGAACCACCGCACCGGACGGAAACCCTTCAAACTTTCTGCACAGCCCGCGCGTGTGCGCGTGTGCGGACACATTTTTGCCCCCTTTGCCAGACTCTTGATTTCTGACCAAATATGGACATTACCCGAAATAGATTTCCACTTAGAATAGGAGGAAACACACACACACACACACACACACACACACACACACACACACACACACACAACTATAGGCTGTGGTTAACCACAAAAAATGTCCTTAAAATATTAATTATGAAATTTGTTTTTAAAATTGTTTTTATTATAATTATAATAACAACTAAGGGACCAGATCCTCTATTATTATTATTATTATTATTATTATTATTATTATTATTATTATTATTATTATTACCTCTGTAGATTAATCCGGAACAGAGAGTGGTTAGGGTTAAACCATCTGATAATGAGTCAGTGTGTGACCGGCCAATCAGATATTTAAAATTCGGGTTTATTTTCCTGGTCCCTGAACTCACCACCACTAATGGGACTAACTGGTCTTTCGTGTGGGAACCTTTGCTTCCAGAATCGTTTTTAACATAATCCGTTTTGGTCCACCAGACCAGAAATGATTAAATCAGATCCTGTTGGGTTCCAGGTTAGGTCACATGTCTTTGGTCCAGTCCAGTTAAATAAAACTCTTTGGAACATAAAACATGAATTTTCATCATTTCGTGTTGTTTTGTATGAAGTTCACTGTCTTTATTCTGTTCCGTGTTATGAGCATTTCTTTAATAATAATGATAATAATAATAATAATAATAATAATAATAATAATAATACAGATTTGATTTATAAAGCACTTTACACTGGAAACAAATCTCAAAGTGCTACAAAGCTAATTTAACCTGAGAGCTCTGGTTAAAGATGCGTTTTAAGACCAGATTTAAAAGCGCCTGTGCTATCCTCTTTTAAAACACAGATTCTTATTAAGACTGATGATTTTCTAACAGGTTGGTTATTTTATTATTTTAAACTCACATAGAAAATAATGTCTTTACCTTTTTCTGCTGTTGGGAAGTGAAGCTACTGGGAAAATGTCTGAGGTATATCTTCTTATCAGGAAAATGTCACATTTGTTTACATGGAGGAGGCGGGGCTTAGGAGTTGTCCTGGAGTCAGCCACAGGTCATGCTCCTATTGGTTCCAGCTTCAGCTCTAGGACACAGATGTGTTGGGTGGCTGGGTTAAACCCAACCCCGGGGAGTTAAAACACCCCAGGCCTGGTCCGGTTTGACCCGTGTTCAGCAGCAGTTTTCAGTGTGGCTCCCTGAACAGCCTGTGTTTGGAGAAATTGAGCTAATGTTCAGTTCAGTTTTTAAATATCAGCAGCTGAGTCGTGTTCAGTGGGGAATTCTTTATTTTTCTGCTGAAATAATGGAGAAATGACACTGAAGCCCTGGGCCAATCAGATGAGGGATGTGAACTCTGTTCCTCTGAAGTGAAGCCTCAGACAGGAATGATGCAGGATTGAGCCCTAACCCATTTCCACAGACACCTGTAGCTACCTGCTCCTGTTTCCATCCCAGTGCTGCTCTCAGACTCACCGTCCAGTCTGTGCTGACTCAGCAATTACCAGGAGGGTGGCGGCTTTTCTCAGCAGATGTGTTGTAATATGAGAGTGGACCAAGGGAATCAGATTTAAAGTGTCAGACATCAGCGATGCAGCACAATCAGAGGCTGCAGTAATGGGATTACTCTGAGCCAGGAGGCCAGAGGGCTCTGGCTGGGAGGTGAAAGCGTAGACACACGCCTGTTCACACAAGCAGAAATGAGCAGATTTACAACAAGTTGGATGGATTTGTTTCAAAGCCACGTGTGATGGAAAGCAACGATGCTTGGTACTGGACAGAAGCACAGAGCCAGACGTTTGGATACGGAGAACTCTGGAACCCGGACGTTGCTTTTCAGACGACAGAAGATGTGGGTTATTAACGTTTACGTTTATATCCGACTGTGTTAGTCATTTTGGAGAATCTGCTCTGGACCTGGGGGATTGGGTCCTGGTCTTTATGCTGCCGGTAGAGGGCGGGACCATGCAGCGGTGTCTGGCCCTGGCTCGGGGGCCTTGGGTGGACCCTGGTTCCTCCTGAACTGGCAGGAACTCTTCCATTCCATAACGAGGGAAGGGGAGGACCTAACTTTGAGGTGACGGTGGCACAGGAGTTAAGTGCTCGCCTAGTAATCAGAAGGTTGCAGGTATGAGCCCCTCTCAGTGTGTCCTTGGGCAAGACACTTAACCCCACCTTGCCTGCTGGTGGTGGTCAGAGGGACCGGTGGCGCCTGTGCTCGGCCAACACGCATCAACACCACGCTGGAGCAGGCGGAGGGAGACTGGGGGTCTTATCACACCTCTGTTCTCTGTTGGCTGCCCAGGGCTGGAGGCTAGTAGTGGGAGTTCTGGTCTGGGGTGGTGGGTTGCTTTGCTCTGCGATGGGCGAAGATGCCTGCTCATCATTACCCAACAGGGTTAGCTCTGGTGTCCGGGAACAGCTCTGTGCAACGGTACCGGGACCAGAGTCAGTAGGGTGTGTGTGGAGAGTGTGAGTGGGTGTATGAAGCACACGTTTGTGTGTCTTAGGGGTGTATGTGTTTACGTGAGAGCATGAGGGAAGGAGTGTGTGACTGTATCTGTCAGGTGGGGTCGTGGTCCTCGGACTCTGTCGGGTCTTCGCCGGGGTTGGACACCCTTGGGTTCCGGGTCGCTGGGTTCCGAGCTCGGCCTCGGGGGTGGGCAGCTGCGGGCAGGCCTGGGGGTTGCTGTTGTTATCTCCCGGGGCTCACTCACTATTGGACACTCCTGTAGAGAAACCTTACATACACAAGTGCACGTTCACACACACGTGCTCACATGGTGCTCTCACAAGGATGGACTTGGGCACGCTCAACACATGACCTAAGGCTGTGGTTGGCACTAAATGCACCGTGAATCTTCTCTGTGTGCTTCTCAGTAAAAGTTGTTCCTGTTCCTCATGTTGTGGTCGCGGTGATATTTGGGTTTTGTTGGATTGTGTGTCCCCCCTTCTCTCTCTCTCTTTCTGCAGGCCTAGAAGCAGATTCTTGCTCATTATTTATTAGCTTTTTTAAACCCCCCCTTCCCACCTCTTCCTTTCTCTCCCCCTTTCTCTTACCCCAGTTTCACACCGGAAGCATCGGCAGCGCGAAACGGCAGCGGAACGGTTTACTCACAAACTTTGAACTTTTGTCCTTTCCACACCGGGAGAGCCTTGGCAGCGGCACGGCACGGCTTCCTCGCTGTGCTCTTCGCTTGACTTGTGATATCACACGATCCCTCGAGACTTCACCGTTTGCTTATGCAATCCACCGTAACACCAAAAAGAAGGAAATCACGGTTGATATCACAGTTTGATGTCATAGATGATGTTGTTCCTCTCCACTGCCAGGATTAAAGCCATGAAAAACACACCGCTGCACTTCTGGAAGGAGGCTGTGAGTAAAGAAGCTGTTGGGTCACACGTAAGCTTCACATCAGCGGTACTCAATAGGTAGGACCTGGCCCGCGGGCCGTCTCTTTGTGGCTCCCGAACCCCACGTGCAACTGTTTCCTAAGAAGAAGAAGATCATTTCTATAGCGCCTCTCAAGATAAAAACCACGAGGCGCTTCACAAAAACAAAAAATGTAAAAATATAAAAAAGATTTTTGAAATGGTTAAAATATATTTAAAATGAGCAAAAATAGGCAACTGTGATTAAAAATGTAAAGAAAGAGAGAGAGTGAACAGGAAAGAGGGAAATCAGTGGATCCTGAGGAAGGTGGGATAGGTTCAAAAGCCAGCTTGAACAGGTGAGTCTTCAGCTGCTTTTTAAAGGAGACCACTGAGTCCACTGATCTCAGGCTCAGGGGGAGAGAGGTCCAGAGTCTGGGGGCCACAGCAGCAGATGATCTGTCACTGTCACCTGTCTAAGGATCTCAAAGCCCTGTTGGGTGTAGATACCTGAAGGAGATCTGACGTGTATTCTGGCCCCATGCTACCGAGTGGTTTACTAACTAGTAGAAGTACTAAATCAGTCATGTGGTTTACTGGTAAACAGTGTGGAGATTTAAGAACAGGAGATAGCCGTAGTTACTTAGCTAGTGCAGGGCTAACTAGCTCAGAACCACCCCGTAGCGGTCCTCCAGCAGAACCCGAGCAGCCGGGACCTCAGGCCGGCTGGGTGACGGTACGCAGGAAGCATGAACCCAGCCCGTGGGCCACCACCAACCCGTCCACGTTTCTAATAGATTTTCCCCGCTCAGTGATGCACCCACTGACAAGCCGACTCTGATCATTGGCAGCTCCATAGTCAGAAACGTGGCATTAGAGACTCCAGCAACCATAGTTAAATGTTTACCTGGGGCCAGGGCGGGCGACATTAAATCTTACCTGAAACTGCTGGCTAAGGATAAGCGTAAATACAGTAAGATTGTTATTCACGCTGGCGGTAACGACACCCGGTTACGCCAATCGGAGGTCACTAAAATTAATGTTGCTTCGGTGTGCAAGTTTGCCAAAACAATGTCGGACTCCGTCATTTTCTCTGGCCCCCTGCCTGATCGGACCAGTGACGACATGTTTAGCCGCATGCTGTCCTTCAACCGCTGGCTGTCTAGGTGGTGTCCTGAAAACAACGTGGGCTACATTGATAATTGGAAAACTTTTTGGGGAAAACCTGGTCTGATGCGGAGAGACGGCATCCATCCCTCTTTGGATGGAGCAGCTCTTCTTTCTAGGAACATGGCCAGTTTTATTAGTCCTCCATGACAACCCAGGGTCCAGACCAGGAAGCAGTCGTCCAGCCTCTGTCCCACATCTGTTTGTTTAGTTTGGTTCTTAACGGCTTTAGTTTGTGTAGAACCAGCGTTAACCATCCTAATGCATTCATGACCTCATACCCGTTTACTGTACATGGTGTCACGTCTCCTTTT